TGAAAAGCACCCATACTGTACATGCGTGCTCGGGTGCGGATACACTGAGAATTGAAATGTGGCATTGTGAGAGAGCACAATATATTTTATAACATGTGCAATAGCATTGATGTATAGCATTTTAATATTCCATTTAATTTGGGAAGGCAGACACACAAACACAGACCTGAGCTTCCTTCATGATGACAGCATACTGTTTGTCAGACCGCTGTTGCATGAATGTTTTCAGGATGTCCTGGGTTCGGGTCAGATTTTCTGGAACAATGGCCTGATTCACTCATGCATGTGCTCAGTCTCTCTTTGTATCGCTCTCTTTCAAACACACACATACAGACATCATGCGTTTGAACTGCTTACTTTCCCTTATCTGGCTTTTCTACAAGCATGCTTATTTGCCTAATCATCGATTGTCCACATGACATTACACTTGACATCCATTTAACATGGAGCTGCTGCAAGACAATTAGAAACCTTTAAGAAGCAGTCATGAAGATTTCAGTCCTGCTTTGGCAAAGTCTGTGCGTACTGTCGCTGTTGCTGTTGCTGTTACTGGTGGCAACAGCAAATGTGGTTTATTAACACAGGTCACAGAGTTCTGGGGCAGATAAACAAACTGTTGTCATTTTAATAAAGAAGTCAGACAATAATTGGTCTTTTTCCATCCTTCTGGAGTCTGCAGACAGCAGGGTACAGCGAAAGGGGTTGGGTTTAGCCTCGCTAAGGTGGAGGTGTGCAGCCTGTCACCTGCAGGTCTTCATCTAACTGTGGCTGCTCCTTCTTTTTCCATTGCTCCCTGCAATATTTTTAACTTACCTGTCAAAAAATGCTGAAAATGACTGTTGTCTGAGACACATTTTTGATGAACGATCGCAGTAAGTCCCCAGCCCATTGAAAAACACATTGCATTCCCTGTGACTACTTCATGATATAAGTCACCTCCTTTTTTTTGCCAGTTTTCTTTAGAGGTTATTATTATGGTATTGGATAGGACAGCTTCAGAGTGAAGGGGGTAGAGAGAGGGGGGATGACATGCTAGAAAGGGCTACAGGTTGGACTCGAACCTATGGCCACTGCAGCAAGGACACAGCTTTTGTACATGGGGCGCCAGCTCTACTGGGTGAGCTACTGGGCGTCCCAGTTGGGTACTTTTAATGTGAAGTTGCAGCAGTAGGAAAGTTTTAGTTTGCATTGGGAGTGACTTAATGTGGCAAATTTTCCAGGAGTGTCGCCCTCAACACCCAGTTCATAATACTGCAAATATATAAATATTGCAATACTTAAATCAGTGGGCCATGAGCTCAATTGCTACTGTGTTACCTTACTCAGCGATGGATAGCGATGGGCCTATCAAGATAATTACAATACGATACGATACGATATGATACGACACGATATGATACGATATGATGCAATACGGTACGATGCAATAATTATAATCAGCTTATCAAGGTCAGCAAAAACAATCAACGGTATGTCCATATATCCTAAGATATTGCCCTTGTGTTTACATGCAGGTTTATTTATATAAGAATGTCACCAAAATTTTAGCAAACATGATGCCAGAATAGACAGCAGGGTTTTCCCTACTATTATAAGACTTGGACATTATTACGGTATTATATTATCATTATATCAGTGGCATAAAATGGTCTTAAAATGACAATATTGTTTATTGCATTATTTCTGGGACAATATATCGTCCAGCAAAAGTAATTATGATGACAGGCCTGGATATTGACTTAACAGATATTTATTTTAATAGAAATCTTTAAGATTTTTACTGAAAGATTCTTGTTATAGTGCCTTTGTGAGCTAGTGCCTGATGGCCTCAGGAAAATGTTTGCATCTAAGCTGCACAACATGACCACTGATCAGGCATTAAGTTATTTCTCCACCTTATTGAACCATGCTGAGTGTTTGACCCAGGTATATAACAACCCACTGACATTGGCCACAGCACTGCACAGATACATCACCATCTCTGTGGTTGATATTCTCTGATTTGTTTGACACTTCCGAGATCTATTTTCTAGACACGTTCCTTCTCAAGGGGCTCTTTTCATGACTGTATAACTTGTCATATTCCTGTGTATAAGCTAATGCTGGTGTCTCACATTCACATTCATCATAGCTGTCAGAGCAAATGTGGCGTTCAGAGGGAGCCACTGCTGAAAAAGCAGAATCACAGACTGTATGGTATTGACTGAAGCGGGGGAAATCACTGGTGTGGAATGTGCTGTAGGTGCGAGCAGGTTGAAGCAGGTTTTACAGTGCTAATCAGCGGTTGGCCTGCGTTTTTCACATCTGGACCCTAAAGCGGGAAGTGGTTAGCCGGGACAGGAAGTGGCTTTTGATGCGGGGCATTTTGGCAATATCAGACGTAGCCGTTGTCAGAATGATGATCACTGCGTGCGTGCATGAGGAAGAGGGAGGAAGAGAGACAGAGGAGTTCATCTGAACTAAACTGTTGACCTTTGAAGGGGACACCTCATTTGTCAGATGTGGACTGGTGTGGAGTGGTTTAACTTAATTACCTCTTTCCACAGGGAGGCAGAAGGTCTCATTTGCAATTTCCTGCACTTTTATATGCGACTGCTTCTGCTTTATCTTTGTCTCCTGTGCGATTCTTCTCCAGCTGTCACATTGTGGCTATTTAAACATTTTCCTGTGATTTGAAGTGGGAATAAAGTTTCAATTAGCATATTTAAATGTAAAACAAGAAGTAAACAGAAGTTACATAGTCTTGCTTTAACTACAGTTTTTGTGCAAAGACATTTTAGTGGAGTTGTTTGATCTTGTGAGACTTCAATAAATAGTTTAAATAGATCGATACCACCTGGAGCCAGGACACAGTTAGCTTATTTGAGTAGAAAGCCTTAAAACAGAGGAAAAACAGCCAGCCTGGCTCTGTATATATAATTGCTAACGGTCTTCTCACCTCATGCTACATTCATGCGCTCCTCAGATGGTTCCATTTCTTGAACTGGGAAGTCATTATTTGAACATTGGTGTGTTCATGAGCTTTAAGTCGTAATCTGGAAACAACATGGACATTACAAAGATATGTTGTAATGATTTCGTCCCAGACTTGTTGCTGCACCAGTACGTCCCCTAAAACTACTAAAATATTGCTTCACCTGAGTAATGCTAATAAATGACTTTTCTGCGTGAACAGTAACTAATTATTACAGCTCAATATCATATTACAAATAACGTGAGGAAAAAAAATTACATGCAATATGTAAATTAATAACAAAAATGATAACTATCAACCGAACATTTGCCTTTGTCAGACATGTTTCTGTATAATGACGTCAGCTCATGCACCAAAACTTTTGCCAACATTCCTAGTTGTTGTTCCAACTTGAGGGTGTGTTCAAGTGAATTTTCCCAGCTGGGAACTCATTTTCCCAATTATTTTGACACCACAGCCAGCTGTAATTATAAGACTTAACTAAATGTGTCCTATCTGATGGCTTCAGTATTAATTTACTTCACCAAGTAAGTTTTTTCATGCAATAAACTCAGAAAACATGAGTGTTAAGTGAACATCTACACAAGTTTGAGTGCAGGTTTTCTTCCTCCGCTTTGGTATTTGAGAAAATATTGGATTACACTGCCAGACCAGCCTGACATAATTACTACTTACAGGTGATGGAGGAAGCCAATACGATTCAACACTCCCACGGGTGACACAGTAGCACAGGAGAAGACAGAACAGCGATGTGGGAGGGCTGTTTGGACCCACCACCACTGAATACGCTCATAAATCTTTCAGTGCTCAGATTGGATTTCCCAACACATGTCTGGTTTCAGGTGACACGTCAACTCCATGTGACCCTCCTGTTTTAAAAGGTCACTATCATCATGTATTAACAGTATAAGGGCACATTTTTATTCATGTATTTTTAATCTCTGGGCACTGCAGCCTAAGCATATTTTAATGGAATTACAGGAGTTGAGTGATGGCTCAGCAGTTTTCTCTGCTGTGTCAGGTCACTGTGAAGTTGTATCACGTACAGTAAATGCTTGCACACTGTAACTCAGCAAATATCATGTGACGGGATGACAACGGTGATGGTTGGAAATGCTCCAGGGATGTTGTGTAATATTAATGATGGCAATTAATTAATTGGTAATTAATAGCAATTGTTAAGTGGTGGGGTTTCCAGGATTTTATGTCCGTACTCATTAAAGTCAAATAAGCTCATGAAAAGTAGCTGTCGACTAAAGCAGAATTTGGTATATTGCCAAGTAGGTTTTCACATGCAAGGAATTTCCTTTTGTGGTTTGGCACATAGATGAGAAGAAATTACAAATGAAAAACTAAAAATAAAATAAAAATATTAAAAAAAAATACTATTTAAAGATATGTACAATGTGCAAAGTTTCACAGTGTTAAGAATAAGAATACATTAATAGGGCTGGACATAAATATTTGACTATTTGGATACTTGGATGTCAGATGTTAGCAGCTGCTACTGTGTTAGCTCGTGCTAACTGGGCAGATGGTGAACTGACTGTTTGCTGGGATGAGAGTAGCTCTGGAGATGGTCCATCAGTGCTGCATCTAACCTGTGCAACAGGAACACTGAATCTTATAAATAAAAATATCACATCTTAAATTTGTTGGCGCTTGCATGCTGTTTCTGCAATTCTGTTTCACCGTGCTTTGTCAGGAGTCTCAAATTCATAGCCCTACTGTCATGAATATTAATGTTAAGCACCCCACCCCCACCCTGACCAAAGCTAGGTATTCGAGACAGACATGATAAATAAATGCCATCTGCTGTTAGGTAAAATTGAAGATACACCTACATCTAGGTTCTCCTTTTACCCTCTTCCTACTTTTCTCTGGTCTGCTGTTGACATTGATTTGTTTCCATGGTTCCTCTGTTTTGTTTGATGACCATTTCTTTTTCCATCTCACCCTCCCACTGGCATCTCTTAGGCATTTGCTTTTTATTTTTCCCCTTCTCTCCTTTTTTTTCTCCCATCAGACTTTACAGGGCATGCTCTCCTCCCTCCACTCTGAGCTTGACATTCAGAGGTACTTGATGAAAATCCAATTGCCCCACAGAGTTAGTCAGCCTTTTATCTTATCTGCATCATGCCATTGTGCGTGTGTCAATGTGTGTGACTGTGTTTGCATCCTCACTAACATCTGCTGTGCGACCGTGTTCCTAACCCTCATGCCCCCCGTGCTTCTTAGTGTCTGAGCTGTCTGTGCCTGCCAAGCACACTTGGCTGTCAGGATAAACCAGTTTTGGCCATGAAAGCTCCCACACATCAACTGCACTTAATATAAAAAGCTCCAATTCTTTATTTGTCCGTACGTGTATGAGTGTGGGAGAGCAGCAGCGTGTGCATGCAGGTGTTTTCGAGATAACCTGTTGGACTCGGCCTCGTGTCTCCATCTGCATTAGCTCTACAGCACCACACTTCTGCCAGGGGAGAAGAGCATTTCATAAAGAGCTCAGTGTTCACTGACCCCTCGGTATTAGTCCCACCTCGTCCCGGTGGTACGGATCACCTTACAGCGCCGCACAATAGCTCAATGGGCTCTGTAGTCTCGTCACACATCGTCTTATTGTAGCTGGGGCTTGAGGATGCCACGTCATGCAGATCGGATTACAGAGTATCCAACTGATCTTCAATCTTTGATGACACAATTCTTGATCCTTAATCAGCGGCAAAAAGGAATATCTCCTTCTTTAGTACCTCCACTCTGGGTGTCTGTTTGATCTCTTTGAGTGTGTCATCATGCACTTGTGCTTGAAAATGTCTTTCGTATACTGTTAGTGTCACTATTATATCAGACCCTGGCTTATGTGGGTGAGTATAAACTTTAAAGTTGAGACTGTTAAGGTGGCACGGTGTGCAGTGTTCAGCATTGTGGCCTCATAGCAAGAGGGTTCCTGGTTCGAATCTGGTTTTCTTAGGGTACTCCGGCTTCCTCCCACAGTCCAAAGACATGCAGGTTAATTGCGACACTAAATTGTCCGTAGGTGTGAATGTGAGCATGAATGGTTGTCTGTCTCTATGTGTCAGCCCTGTGATAGCCTGGCGACCTGTCCAGGGTGTACCACGCCTCTCGCCCTGTGTCAGCTGGGATAGGCTCCAGCCCCCCCACGACCCCCAACAGGATGAGCGGTTACGGGAAATGAATGAATGAATAAATGACTCCTGTTATGATTAGAGGCTTCCTTCTGCTTGATAACTTTTAGTGGCTGTAATGTGCTTGTGGGACAGCACTGATCAGTATTAAATGTGTGAGCATGTATCAGTGACATATAGTATTAACACTAGTCTGCAATTCTGCATGAGTGAAGTGGTTTGGTTTGTGTAGTTGCGCTAGAGTCAAGCTCCAAGGTGCTTTATTCTAGCTCGCCAAAGAACATGTGTAACTCATAACGTAAGAGCACTAGTGTTATTTTCCAACTCCACCAAATGCATCATATCTTAAAGGTCCAGTGTGTATGATTAATAGGGATATATTTGCAGAAATTGAATGTAATGCAGTAAGTATTTCCTCTTTCCTTATTACCTGAAAATAAAAATGGTTGTGTTTTTGTCACCTTTGAATGAGGGGTTTATGTCTACATATGGAGCATTTTCTTGTCTGTGGAGACCATCATGTTGCACCGCCGTGTTCCTACAGTAGCTCAGAATGGACAAACCAAATGCTCTACAAAGGGCCATTCACATTTTAGGCATCAACCGCGGTAGTTAGAAGCTCCTCTGACAAGCATTGTCAAAAAAACACAGATTTTTTTTTTTAACATGACACTGCTTTATTCAGTGTTTTTACCATTTTAAATCACCTGGCCCATCTGTTTTTGAGAGGAAGAACCATCTATGGATAATTTGGCTCCTGGTAAATCCTCCCTTCTGCAAAAAAAACCTCCTGAATAATAAGTACTGAAGGAATTCTAACTTCTAAGTTTCAGCTGGTTGCAGTCTGCAATCATCACCTCTAGATGCCACTAAATCCCCCTAAATCTTACACACTGGACCTTTAAAGAGTTTGCGTGATGTTCATTGGCATCTTTTTTTTGTGTCATGTTGAGGGAATAAAAAACAATGCATGTGCTGTATTATTTTGTGTACGATGTGTCCATTGTCTAACCCTTACCGTATCTTCTTCCATGTGCCTCCCCCTCCAGAGCAGAAGCCCAAAGCACGGCCCCAATCCGCAGCTCGGCGTCGGCGACCAGGTCGACCACCTATCCCTGGCCTCCCTGGACTCGTTGGACGCCATGTCTGATGCTGACGCACCCACAGCCTTCACCCGCGGCAGCCGGGTTCGCGCTAGCCTGCCCGTGGTGCGATCGACCAACCAGACAAAGGACCGCTCACTAGGTACAGTATGAGGCTATTGGGTTAGTGACAGTTCAATCAGTTGAGAAAATTTCTTATCTGTATCTGGCTTTGTTGCTTGTCTTTGGCCACAGAATGTGTCAATCAGCTGTCTTGTAGTTCTCTCAAAATCCCCCAGACTGCCACAGAGATTTTTTTTTCATATCTGAGAATAAAGACTCAAATGTTAAATTGACTTTGTGAATAGACTGAGGTGAGAGTGAATTGACTTTAATCCTCTTCGATAACCTACACTTTGCATCTTTCGTAGTGTAATCTCAGCACAACTTTAGAACTCTCTGAAGTAACTCCTAACCGCGCCATGATCTCACCGTTTCACCTTGTCCAAGTCTTTCCCTCTCACTCCATCTATCTTCTCCTCTCCTCCCTACTTCCTTTCTCCACCTCAGCTCACAGCTCTGTTTTAATTAGAATTCATTTCCTCTGTAGTGAAAGATTAGGGAATCCATCCACAATATGCCATCGTGTTATTGACAGGATTAGAAATGGGTCGTCTTATCAACACACATGGTGCTTCATTTGCATCCATATGCAGAAGCTGTGAGTTGTGCAGAATTAGGTTGCCGCATTAGGGTGAGAAAGTGGCGGAAAGAGTGTGAGAAGTTCCCAAACAAAGTGTAGAGTCTGTCATTTTTCAGGAGGATAGTCTTCAAAGGTAGCTCGCAACGCAGCAAGGCATCTGCTGCTGGATAATAGCAAAGCGTCTGAATGACACGCCTTTTAAACAAAGTGAAAATGAATGAAACTATAGGGTGCCGTTTGCCACGCTTTTTCATGCCAGTAAGTACCTCTTGCTTTGCTTGAGAAGCAGAGATGCCAAATCTGTACAAAAACACTTTAAACAGATATGCTTTGCAACACATACATGCACAAACACACACGTGCACCAGCGTTCCCCTTTTCCCTCTCAGAAATGTCAGGACAAAGCATTATGACAGTGGGGGGCTATGGTGTGATGAAGGGGGAGGAGAGAAAAAGGGGCACCACTAAACTACAGTGTCCCTCCCACAGCCTCTCACGCGCACACACAAACACACAGGCACACACTTCTCTGGGTCCCAACGGACATTTGGGGCTTCGTGTCTACAGCTTGTGCCGTAGGAGCTGTCGCGTGGTCTTTACCAGAGCATCATAAGACTTAACAGAAACCAGGAAATCCTTAAAACCCCTAATGTGAGTATCAGATTTCATCTAGAGTGTGGCATCAAGTGTATTATATTTCAGGTCATTTATTCTGTGGTTCTGATATTGCATTTTTCTGTTTTTTTTTTGTCACGTTTCAAACTCTGTGATTTTATTAACGGACCCAAATGATGTTTTACTTTTGTATCTCACTGGAGAAATGTTTGAAGCTCAGACAGTCTGCAGTGCTGTGCCCATTTGGTCAGGAAACCCACTGGCCATTTGCTTCCAATCTTGAGTGAAACCAGGCGCTCAGGAATGTAACACGGCTCTCTGTTAGACCCGAGCCATTCAACTTTGTTGCAGCAAATAAAAAACGATGTGAAAGAATTCAAACCTTCATAGCTCGTGCTCAATCAATGGCGCTTTGTCATCAAAATCATTCGCTTTAATTGCCAACATCTGGATGAAAACTAGCCGACTGTTAGCGTAACAGCTCTCAGGGGAAGGATGAAGTTATTCTGCAAATGGGCACTTTGTTAAGTTATTACTACCCCAGAAACCCAGACAGACCAGAAAGAGCAATGATAGACTCAGCAATTTTGTTTCCTGGATTTGCCCTCTCTCTGTCTCACTCTGTCTCGTGGAGCATGTTGGATCTTGTATAATATTTCAGCAACATCTGGGAGCTTTTACTGGCTCTGTCCTTTTATGGGGTTACACCAAGTAAAACCATTCCTCCTTTCCTTAAAACCAGCTATTATCAGTGCACAAATGTAAAAGTGGTATTGAAATGACTGATTTATGCGCGTCAAAACAAGTCTTTTGTCTCAGCAGTTAATGAAATGTGACAGTCTCTATGATTCGTAAGTAGTAAGATTTTAAAAATAAAACTCCTTTTAGTCTTTTTATTAAAGTTATATTTTTGCAACAGATGAATGTACAGTAAAAAAAAATCAGTGTCATGCTGTTTGGATCTGCAGTGAATCAGTGAATAGAAATAGAAATGTGTTTTTTTTCTCTTCCCTGGCATTGTTTATACAAGTGCAGTGTGGGCGTGTCCATAAATTTTGTGGGGGAGACATCTGTTTTTGTAAAGCACAGTACAGAAGCCACACCCAGGGTTCAGAGGTTCAGGCTTTGGTCGTTTTGATGCACAACTTGTACGGTTCCACCCCGAGCACACAGCCCTGCCTCTGCCCCCAATTCGTGCCCCTTACACCCTTTCTAAATATCAAGTGATTTGTCTGGAATATACAGCATGCTGATCTTAAACATGTGTAACATGAACAGGAGCAGAGTGGCACCTTTAGTACAGTGCCACATGTCTTATTAGTTTGCTATTGAAAATATATCAGGACACCATAGGCCACAGAAAGTTTTTTTATGATCAGTTCAAAGGCTTTGTTTTCCTTTGGGCAACAATTGAGGGTAAGCATTCATTCTGAAGCCTAATTCAAGAGTTAAAAAAAGAACTCTCCGAACCCACAAATGGGGACTTTGAAGGACAGTTTACCATCCGCATATTACAAGACTGAAGATGATGAAAGTGTTTTTCGACTTCAGCTGCTAGGGTTTAATGGTATAAATGGTACACCAGTGTATAAATGGAGAAATGGACTTTTGCTCATGTAAATCTGGACAAGTTCAGGCACTGAGCGGCCATGATCAGACAATGTGATTCAGGCAAGATGCCAACTGTGTTTTCCCAGGTCAGGAATGGCACAGGAAAAAGTGATTTTGTGTGAGGTCATGCATTGAAGGTTGTTCGGGGCTTACTCAAACTGCAGTAAATATGCATTTATATTTGACCAGCTCTGCCTTTGCAAAGTTTTCTCTTCATACATTAATTCACAAAGTTGAAAATTTGCTGAAAAAGGTTGAAATTCAGATACTGAACAACTTTTACTGAGTACATTCTCAGCATTGCTAAGTAAATACTTCAGGGAAGGTTCACCCCTAAGCCAAAAAATACATATTTTTCCTCTTACCTGTAGTGCTATTTATCTGTCTCAATGGTTCTGCTGTGAGTTGCAGAGTGTTAGAGCTATTGACTGTAGAGATGTCTGACTTCTCCTGAATATAATGGAACCAGATCGCACTCAGCTTGTGGTGTTCAAACTGGCAAAAAAAACATTTGAAAAATGTCTCTTTTCAGAAATCATGACCAGGTTATTCAAGATAATCCACAGACCTTGTTGTGAGCAGTTTAATACAGGAACTATTTTCTTTCGACCAAACTACATCCACCAACTGAAGGTTATGGCCAAAAGCAAGAGAGAAAAGGAATCGTGACAAAACCAGTGATTTAGACTCCTACCAACCATGTCACCATGTGGAAGGAAGTGTGCATCTACTCATAGACGAGAGGCTTGTGCTTATGACAGCGCAGGATGTAAACATTATTGGAGTCCTTCTCTGCTAAGCTGTAACGTTAGCTAGCTCAGTGGTGCTAGGTGAGCTAGTAATAGTTGCACACTTTCTTCGGCACAATGATATGGTTGGCGGTTTTAGTTCTGTAGAAAGAAAATAGTTCCTACATGAAACTGCTCACAACAAGGTCTGTGGATTATCTTGAGTAATTGGTTCATCGTTTCTGAAAACAGACATTGCTGTTGAGTTTTTCGTATTTCTTTGGCGCTTTGAGCACCACAAGCCGAGCGCCATCTAGTTCCATTATATTCAAGAGAAGGCAGACATCTCTACGACTGATACCTCCAACACTTGGCAACTCACACCAAAAAAATCTAGACAGATAAACGGCACTACGGGAAAGAGGAAAAATATGTATTTTTGATTTCGGGTTGAACTGTTCCTGTAACTGATTAACACTAAAGGAGGACCAAACCTTTTTAGCATTCGAAAAACAGCAAGAGCACAATCTGCGAAAAACAAAACTGAAAGAATCACTGCTCCTGCAATCTGCAGAAATCAAAAGCCAGTCTGAGTCATAGGAAGCATTTTCATTAATTAAAAGAAGTTTGCTTTTGGCTCATCACCGTCCTCCCCCGCTTTCTCTCCGCAGGTGTGCTGTACCTGCAGTACGGAGACGAGACCAAACAGATCCGTATGCCTAATGAGATCACCAGCATCGACACTGTCAGAGCTCTGTTTGTTAGTGCCTTCCCACAGCAGCTCACCATGAAGATGTTGGAGTCGCCCAGCGTCGCCGTCTACGTCAAGGACGACATGAGAAATATGTACTACGAGCTCACTGATGTCAGGTAGATATTTGCTTTTGTGTAATAAACATGGATGCAGAATACATACTGGACAGCAAGCACTGTGTTTTGCCAGTCTAGGTTTAACAGGTCATTCAAGGATCACAATTCTTTTAGTCTCTGAAGGTCCTTTCCTTTTCCCCTCCCAGAGAACTTCCTGTCTGAACTCCCCCTGCACAGGAAGTGTCACAGTCCAGGAAAGCTTCTCGCTTCCTTTTTCCATCATGTTAAAACTCACTCGATAGAAAGTTATTTGGAGATGAAGCCCTTTGGCAAAATGTCTCCTATATACCCAAACAAACCGGAGGGCACTCATGAGAGTCTCGGATGACTTTCCTGCCTGTTGTCCTCTCTCCTCTGGTGAAAGTTTGACTCGAGAAAGTTTGAACACTGTGAGCTTTGTCTTTTTTTTTTACTTTTTGAGGCCTTTTTATGTGTTTTCACAGAGTAGTTTCCAAAGTATTGTGTACCGTGTATCATTTACAAGCGCACAAACACACATATACGAGCTCACTGCTGTTTCTTGCTCCTTGTACCTTCCTGGTTTGGTATTCACCAGCATGTCTTATCAATAATACAGCAGATTTTATGTGTCGCAGCGGTGTACAGCCTTTGTTCGAGTTGTTTTTCACAAAAAACATTACTCTTAAAGACTAAAGCAGCTTTGCCCCCCTCTCTCCAGAGTTCCTGCTCTAGTGCCATGTGTACTTTGTGACTAATTTTTTATCAGGGTTGTAAAGAAATCCAGAGTCCAGGGTGCAACACCGTAGTGAGAGAGCGAGACCAGCAAAAGAAGGAGCGGATCTGCTCTCCGTTTATGCGGTCGCGCCACGTTTCAACACAGTAATAGCAGATGTTTTGATAGACTTTAGAGATTTAGAGGAAATGTCATATAACAGAGAACTGTCAGAGCCTCTGTCAGGGTATGTGCCCTTAGCGGGGCTGACGCAGAGACTGAGATCCAGGCTGAGGCAGGATCGGCCGCTGTCTGACGGTGATATCTGGGCTGCCTGTTTACCACGGGATACCTCTTTCCCCTACAGGAACATCACAGATCACTCCTGCCTGAAGGTCTACCACAAAGACCCAGCACAGGCGTTCAGCCATGGGCCAAGACCTGCCAATGGCGATGCCAGGGTGAGTACTCCACTGACACAGATGCTAACAGCAGTGAAAATGATTGTCTTGTTAACAGCAGCAGCTGCAGGGATACAGCCAGACTTGTTGCAGATAGAATAGTAAGGCCAGCCTCCAATTCTTCTCTTTCTCACATCCTGTTTGCAGTCAAGGGAAAGAATGTCCCCCTGCCTCATCTTAATCTGTTTAGAGGGGGTCTTTTATTGTTCTCCCAGGGGCCTGTGATTGGGCCTCGCCTGTACGCTCCACTGCAGCCTGCTTTAAGGACAATTGAGCTCAAATCTCAGGACTATTTTCCTTATTCATTCTCCCCCCAATATCAGCTCTAATCTTTTTTCTCTTGTTCTGATTCCAGCATGTTTGTTTCCTGCTGATGTAACAAAACTAAAGCCCCAAAGAGCCCTTTCCTCAAATGTTCCGCCTCAAATCCTCCTCTTTAATCCACATGACCCTTTATCTAACCCGCTGCTCCTCTCTGCCTGCTGCAGATTTCCAGGCGGCGTCGCAGCGCCATTGTGATACTGCAAAAATTACATTAACCTTAGCCATAATCCCATTGCCACATACTGTATGTGTCACATGAGTGTAAAGTGAAATTGATAACGTTTAAGGGAATGATGAGGCAAACATGATGATGGTTTAAGAGGTCCCGGTTCAGATGGCGTGATGACTTAGAGGTGCTGCAGAAACTCTTTTTATTCTCCGCCGCTGACAGGCGAGTTGCTCCGGCTGGCTTTCTGTGATGGGGTCCTTCAAGGGGAAGTGAACAAAAGACATCTGAGGAAAAAAAAGATGGCAAAAAAAGATAGAACTGAAAAAGTGAAATGGGAATTTAATAGTGTAAATGGTTTAAGAGTGGGAAAGGTCGCAAGCTGGCCACAGCAGGAGAACATAAGTTGTGTGGAACAGCTTTTCGTGTTTAGGTTTTTTGGTCTTTTTTTATTTTTACAGAATTACCTATAAAACAACTCTGGCACATGCTGAATCAGCAGGGTTGAAAACATATAACTGTAACTGGATGACCTGAAATACATAAAGCACAGAGAAGCAACGTGGCTGTACAAGGGCTCATGTGCAAACATTGTGAAATTTAGGCATGACGTAGAGATCTGCTGAGGAAGACTGTTGTCATGAATAGCTCTGTCACTGTTCAACCAGGTAGCAGTTGACACAGATACAAAGGGGTGGAGGCCAGGCTGGTGAATGGTACATGACGAGACATTTAAAAAAAAATGAGTCAGGTGACACTTGTTGCATTAATCCAAAAATATGTATTCTTATGGCTGCTCCTTTCCTACTAACATGTTGGCGAGTTTTAAGACTCAGACATTGTATACTCCCGTTGTAAGCAGTGTCTCTATTCTTGGCAGCTGTAAATCTCAGACTGAAGATTTTTTATTTGCCTGTTAAAGATTGCTTGAAAAGGCAAAAAGGTCTTGTCAGCTTTTACCAACACCTTTTAATAATGAAATAGAAACCCTGGCACTCAAAGCAAAAGGGCAAATACTACACCTTAATGAGCTGTACACCTGTTCAAACACTTTTTCGAGGGGGTATACTTCACATCTGTTTGAGCTATTGAGTGTCCTCTTGTCTGGCATGCAAGATTCCCAGGCTACGGATCAGATTTAAAGTATCATCTGCGGTTCCCTCTGTTATTGATCTACGTTTCTGGCCATATAGAGCTGTCTCTGGTTATCAAAACAACCATCTTTTTTTGTCAGTAATTGATTTAAGGTGGACAGATGTACAGGGTAACTGATGAGTAACTCAATACGCAGAATAAGCAGCAGACTGTCAGAATAAAGAGGTATTATCCGGCTTTCGTAGCATCGCTTTTGTCATGTTTAATTGAATGAAAAAGCGGCAAATATGTTGAAATATTAATCTGTACGCGTGTAAGGGATCGTGCCCAAAGCAGCGCTTTGTATTCACTGAATAGTCAATAGTGGTTGTCAGAAGTGATGTTATGTACACATAGCTGGGGGAGATATTTTGTAAACAGAGGGTTCAGTAATTGGCTAACCTCTGATCTGCTATCCTCGGGGTAACCCACCTAATTTTGGTGTTTATCCAAAAATGACAAATTGAGCATTCGTCTTGTTTTCTCACACAATTATCATAATTAGCAGGAAGCTCCCATCTTCTTTTCAACACCATTATGTATACAGCAGCATCATACATGCAGCCATACAGCTATTTAAATGTTGACACACTCGGCAGTTTGTGAATCAGTTCGGGAACCCTCTCCGAGGCGACTTTGCGCGCTCCTACCAGACATGCTGCCCTGATTATTTGGAGCTTAAGAGCACGGTGGAAACAGAGAGAGAGAGTCACGAGCCAAACTCAAACCAAATGTTTCTCGACACAGCCTCTCATTTGCCTGACATGGTCTCATGTGTTTATTTTTCAAGCCTTTATCCCTCTGTTTTGTCTCAAGGCAGAAATGTGTGTATGTTCTGCAGACAAAAACAGACCGTCTTTATTAAGATGGTGTATTTTAAGGATATTTTATGAATTCTTGGTCTTCCAAAGGTGTAACATCTGTTTGGGATTGACAAGTGGTGCTTTTTGGCCTAAATTGTTCTTATGAGGCTGTGCTGGAATTGGCAATGTTGTTTAAGGCTCCAGAAAAAATTCCTGTACAAGAGGGCAACTTTTCTTTTTATATGTGTAGGCACCTTGGGTAGTGAAAGTCATTAGGGTTTGATGATGGTCTGCAGGGGCTCTGTGCATCTTAGATTTTCTATTATATGTTTTGTTGCCTGGTCAGACTTGTTGCTGCCATATTTATGGGCTGTGTGTGCTTTCACTGCCAACAAGTTTCTTTCTCTTTTTTTTTTCCTTTGTTATCACAGCCAAGCCTGAACCCTTTGTTACTGTACACTTTGAACAGTTGTTGTTATCCAGTCCGCACACACACACACACACATACACACCTGTTTCACTGTATTGTTCTCTTCGCTGTGTTAATCTGTATCAGCGCTGGTGGAAAAAAAAAAAAATAAAAGCAACACAGTGTCACAAACTGTACCTGAAGTTTCGGAAAGAACTTTGCCCAAGATTTCGACTTGTCTTCTTATGTAGGTGTAACCTATGAGTCATAGCTTGAAGGAACAATTGCTTGTTTGTTTGACAGCGATAGAGGGTTAGACAGACAGAAAGATTAATTGGATTCGGCCCTGTATGAGACGCTCCCCATCTCTGTGTTACCATACCCAGCAGGAGATCATATATCTGCGGGGGTATATCACTGTTTACACACTATATTTCAGGCATGCTAGCTAGCACAGGGAAATGTTTACTTCTATGGGAAATGAACTCAAGCTTAAAATAAACTCAGGATACTGTCGTCATTCTTGTAGGTTGTGCCTTTATGAATTCACAAGTTTTGACTCACACTAGTCTGCTCCCATGATATACTGGTTGTAGTGAGACAATGTGACTTTCTGAACAATGGCCACTGTAGCCCCAAGTGACAATCACAGAATGACTGTAAATGATAAAACAGTCGCACAGTGGAATATAACAGTGACACAACTAGAGAATAGCCAGTAGTTATCAAACTGACCTTAATGTCAGTTACACAGGAATACAGTATCTTAAAGGGATAGTCCTGATTTTCTGGAGTGGGGTTGTATGGGTCACTTGTCCATGGAAAGTATATTACATACAGTCGGTGTCAGTCAGCAAGCCTCCAGTTTGGAGAAGCAGGCTGGAGTTTAACATGGAAGCTCAACAATCTATTGCTTTGGAGGGGTCAGCAACAGAACATATTTTAGCCACCTAAAAAAATCAATATAAATGTATGTGTACACTATATTTAGGATATTTTCACTGCATTACCTTAATGTCAGACAGTGATTTCCAATGGGAAAACTAAGCAGTTATATCACTTTCTTAAAAGCCAGACTCCATTGAGAAAAACAGTGATTTAACATTGCTGAACACGGGAGCTGCTGGTCCACCACTGCCTCAAATAGTTATTTTATTTGTGTTATTGTGTGACTTTAGAGTTTCAAAGGGTTAGTTCAGATTTACCAAAGTCACACAGTAACACAAACTAACTAACTGATCAAAGCAGCGGTAGACCAGCAGCTGCCGTGTTCACCATGATAAATTAAATGTTTTTCTTAATGGAGTCTGGTAGCTTTAACAAGAGCATAAATGGGGAACTAAAGCATTAACTGCCTCTCCGTTGCAACAGGCTGTCTGATGGAAAGGTTAAGTGGTGAAAATACCCTTGATATAGCATACACTTAAAGTGATAATGATTTTTTTTAGGTGGTTAAAATACATTTTATTTCTGACCTTCATCCACTGCAGTGCATTGCTTAGCTTCCATGTCAGACTGCAGCCTGCTTCTCCAAACTGGGGTCATGCTGTCTGACATCTACTGTAGGTTATACACTGACTATGAATGAGAACCTCGTACAACCCCACTTAAAAAATCTGAACTATCTCTTGAACCTAACACTAATTATGCTAACAATAGCTACTGTGTAGTGTATAGTTTAAATTATTTTCTGCATCAATCCAAAAGTTTTAACTCAAACCAGTCTTTGCCCATGATATTTTGGTAATGGCAAGACAGTGTAGCCTCTTGCGAACTGTGGCCATTGTGGCCAAAACTAAGTAGTTATAGGAGTACTATAATGGCAAATGGTAAAATGGTAAAATGGCTGCTAATGTTATCTTCCATGAGCCACCACAAGCTAGTGTAGCAGCAAAATCTGTCATTTTCACGTGTCCCATTCACTGTCTATGTAAGCAGCCTGTATTTCAAGAAACACAGCATCTACTCTTCATTTGCATCAAGTTGAATCTAGGCTACTTTATGCAAACCAGAGTGACTCGCTTCTGGAGACTTCCTAAAAACGTTTAAACTTAGCATTGTCGATCTGAAAGTAAGACAGATTTCAACTCTATAGCTTATTTCTCAAATGTCTTCAGAAACACATTTTGGTGAACTGTCTTTGTAATATAAGAGGGAGTTGCCCCCGTGGGCTTGTACCATAAGTATATTAATTTGAATTTTTTTTTGTTTTGTTTTTTTGCTTATGACTTTTCACATGTACAGTAAAAGGAAGAATGTCTTATGTCTCCTTTAAAAAGCTACAGTCTCCATTTAAGTCAGGTGGCAATATGGAGGTCCAGGAAGATTTGACAAAGCTGTCAAGACGTGATGAGACAATTGAAACTTGTCATACTTTACACGGCGTGTGGCTCACCACAATAACCATATTTCCTTTTGCTTGTGCTCTCTTGAACCTATGAGACTTTCACCTCTTTGTTTGTACTTTTACCACCGACAGTCTGAGCGCTCATTCCCCTAACCTGAAAAGCCACTCTAGTAAAATGAGGTTAGGTTTATTGTATGTTAGCCTTCAAGGGTCCTTTATGGGTGGTCGGGCCCGGATTAGCTGACTGTTTAAACAGACTATGCTAGACAGGTCTTGTTGAAAATTAACCATTTTGTAGCCTGAAGGTGCACATGTAACCTCTTTTTAGAAAGCCCCAGTTTTATCTCCAAGAGAGTAATCACAGATTTGTTTAAAGTCGAAAACGGTAGATTAATTCACCTTAAAATGACAGACTATCTATCCAGGAAGTAGTGTTTTTTATGTATTGTAATATTGTTTTGTAGAAGCCTGTGGCATCTTACATCCAGGACTTGAAATGCTGCTCTGTGTACCTGGGGATAGTAGCTTTGCCACTAACTATTTTCTGCCTCTGGAAGAACTGCTGACAGTCTGTTTTCTTTGAAAAGCAACAGTGTAAACTGAGTTGGATGAATGTTTTTGTTTCAAGGGCACTTCAGTCCAGAAATGCAGGATATATACAAAATAAACAGTAGCTGAAGCTCTCAAGCGGGCAGAAGTATGCAGTTTGGTTTATTGACCAATCCTGAAACTGAGTTTTCTTGTTTGAACTTTTTATGCATTATTTGAAGTAATAACCCATTTTTATGTTTGTTTTTGTATGATGAAATGTCTATGTCATTTGGTCTTTTACAGATGCACAGCGAGATGGTGCATGCCCCTCGTGACGGCACGCACCCTCTGAGACAGCCCCCCATGGGTCCCCCACCACACCACCCCATGCCGGGAGCCCTTCCCCCGACCCCCCACTCTATGCCCCCATCCCCATCCAGAATCCCATTTGGCCCACGGCAGGGCTCTATACCTGGCAACGCCACTATCCCAAGAGACCGGCTGTCTAATGCCAACCCTCCGGCCCGCTCCATCTCACCCTGTCCCAGCGCCATTCTGGAGAGACGAGATGTGAAGCCAGATGGGGACATGGGTAATAAAAGCCACAGTCTATCCAGGGGAAATGAGGGGTTGTACGCAGACCCGTACTTGCTCCAAGAGGGAAGAATGACCATGGCTACTGCCCACGGGCCACACCCCAACCCTGGGCTTGATGGTTCAGATCACGGCATGGCAGGATTTCACCGTGCCTCCATCCGCTCCACAAGCTCTTACGGCGGGCCCAGCCCCACGGACACTATAGATCACCCCTCTCTGTACAGGCAGAAGTCCAGAAACAGCCAGCTGCCTACTTTGGGCTCCAAGACTCCTCCTCCATCCCCTCACCGGATGGCTGAGGTGCGGATGATTGACATCCATGGCGGGCCTCCTCACGGTGGTCCTTCTCACGGTGTGCCACCTCACGGTGTGCCACCTCATGGTGTTCCCATGGAGAGAAGCTCACCTGTGCGCCAGTCCTTCAGGAAGGAGGACGTGGCAGGGACCAAGCCCCGGAACAACATGGGATCACCTGTAGTTTCAGACCTCCAGGGTCACCTCCAGGGGCCCATCCCAGCTGCCGCTGATCATCAGACACGGTAAGCACCAGTGGGCTGGTGGGATTGTAAAAAATTAGGATTAAGACACTGCATGGGAGCATGGACTAACTCTGCATCCCAGTTTCACCCTAACTGTGAGCTGCTGATTTTCAATCCCTGGCTCTGACTGTTCCATCATCCATGACTGAAGGCGAGAATATAACCCACCCTGTCACTGTCTTGAGCATCAAAATCTGCACATTAAGAACAGCAGACTAATGCACATGTTTATGCATTGGTTTGGTTTGTGTATATAACCACTTCTGCTTATCTGAGCATTGTTTTCACTGTCTCTATTCAAACGTTGGAGCTGACAGTGTTGATTTTTACAGAGTGTATATGCCCACACAAAGCTACCATCACTGAAACAGTATAGTATCTGGAGACCCCGCTAAGCCACTGTATATTTTTCCTGTTACTCTGTGACTATTGTTCTAACAACAAACCCTCTGCAGAGTCTATTCAGTTTGGATAATCCAGCAGACATTTTGGTACCTGGGTTAGATTTGTCCACTCTGACTGAGAGCACATAAACAAAGAAAGAGGGATGCTTGCCACTTAGCCAGGCAACGTGGTTTTATTAAAAGGCAGGTTACGGAGGCTATGTGCATACCTTGAAAAACCAAAGAAAATATTGACCAGGTTGAAAAAGTGTTTTAAATGGCCCAATCAGTCAAACAGATCAGTCTGGACCACCTGGAGAGCCCAAAACCCCCCATTAGAAATGCCCTGGGAAAAGAGTGTTGGAATTTGAATGGGAAAGTACAGTCCTTAACTTTCAAAATAAACAGAGCCCCAACACTCAGCGCTCTCTAGCTGTCATAGAATTTATTCATGTAAAATATGATGTATGACACTGAGGTTAGGCATTGTGTTCTCATAGACCCAGGGGTGTGGACTGGAGTCACATGACATGGACTCCACTCAGACGAGAGTCACAAATTTGATGACCTTATACCCAACTTGATAAAATCAAAAAAGACTTGCAACTCGACTTGGACTTGTGACACTTGAACCTCCTGCCAAGTCCAAAGATCAAAATGTAGCCTTTCATTTAAAAAGTGTGGCAGAAATCCTATTGTTCTGTGAATCAACTAACATCTACGCTACTCGTTCCCAGCAAGCTGACACTTAATTTCCTAGATCTACTTAGTTTGGATCAGTCCGGCATCATCCTATCAAGTTGCAGGAGAGAACCACTAGGAACTAACATTGCAATACAAATAGTAATAGTAAAATGGACTGCACTTGTATAGCACTTTTCTAATCTTCTGACCACTCAAAGCACTTTTACACTACGTAACACATTCACCCATTCACACACATTCACACAGTGGTGGCCAAGGCTACCATACAAGGTGCCACCTGCTACTCAGTAACCATTCACACGCACTCACACACCAATGGAACAGACATTAGAAGCAATTTGAGGTTCAGTATCTTGCCCAAAGATGCTTCGACATGCAGACTGGAGGAGCCATGGATCAAACCCACTGATCTTCTGATTAGTGGATGACCTGCTCTACCTTCTGAGCTACTGCCACCCCTATGGCTTTACACTTGCTTAAGGAATCAAAACTCAAAGACTTGACTTGGGACTTGTCTGTCTTGACTTAGTTCTTTACTCTGAACTTGAGTGCAAAGACTTGATACTTATCTGTGACTTGAAAAACAATGACTTGGCCCCACGTCTGCATAGACCTTGTGTCCTTCTATTGTCTTATAGCACAGTCAAAACCACCTCCTGTCCCACACTGTGTCCTCAGCTGGCCCCATATCCTTCCTCAAGATAAATGATGACATCTGAAAACAAAAGTTGTTCTCTTTTCCAACCTCACAGCTTACCAAGTAATCTTGGTGTAAGGTCCCTCTATTCACCCCTCTGGTGTTTGGCTTTTCTTAAGGCAGCGTAATTTTCGAATTGTCCTTTCATTCTCTCATGAGCAGCCACTGCTTGTGAGACACTCTTGTTTTATTTAAAAACCAATATGACTTGAACACCCTCGGTCTCAACCTCAGGGTTCCTTTTCTTCCTTCCTGAGTCGTCCATCTTGTTTATTCCATTTGAACTCAAGCTTTTCCTTTTTGTGGAAACACTGAGTCAAATGTTGTTGCACTGTGTGTGAAACTATCCATTTGACCAGATTCAATAATTACTGAGGACATAATTGAAAATCAATTGCAAAAAAAAATCCACTGTGCAATCCCATGAAATAACACAGTGATTCATGATGAGGTAATTAAAAACAATTGATTATTCTGTTACAGCCCTCCCGTTTTCTTTCAGAGCTAATATTTGCTCTAGTGGCAGCTGTAATATCCAATAGGCCTCAGTGTTGAAAGTAGAATTTTTTGATGTTTCTGCAGAGTGCGAATGAAGGCTATGGAGCAACAGATTGCCAGCTTGACTGGTCTTGTTCAGCATGCACTTTTAAAGGAGCCAAACTCTAGTGGTACCAAGGAGCTACTAAGGTAAGCAATCATAGTATAGGAAAGAGTGAGGCATCAGGGGAGATGGAGTCTCAAATGAAAAGCCTGGCTATCCAGCCAGAGCGGGAAAGATAAAGTATCCCCCTCTATAATGGCCATATTGAACACTTAGGTTAAATAGCATCTGTAGAAGAGGAAATAGGTTTGACTGTGAATCTGATATGGAAGTCATTTGCTCTCTAGATAAATGGCCACTGTGTATGGTTTATCTGGCTGCATTTCAACTCTTTGCATTTCGATCATCTCTGTGGAGACCTTGTGTTAATGTTTGCTTGACAGTTTAAGTCTAAAAGCTCTGTGACTGCAGTGAATTAGTATGTTTTGATGCCATGTTGAACACAGATGAAGCTTGTTAACATCATTAACATCATTTTAACCTCTCTGGTTTGTCAGTCTTTCCCATCATACTTTATTGCATTGTTTGTTCTTACTAATACAGACCTAAATATCTAAAGTGCCCCAGATCTTGATTTTTTTGTAACCAAAATCCTACACTAATGAATTTTTCTCTGGCTGCAGTGAGAGACCACCGAAGACATCATCTCCAGCCCACAGTGCACATAGCTCAGGTGAGTATTATTGGTATTCTGTTCTATTATATTAACCTTTTTTTTGCTTCTGCACCAGTGATGGACACAGCTGGAGGCATTATGTTTTCAGGTTGTACGTCCCATTCTTGTGAATGAAATATCTCATGATTGCCTGAAGGGATTTTGTTCAAATTTGATGAACTGATTAGATTTTGGCGGTCATAGATAAGAGGTCAAGGTCGCTGTGACCTTGTCTGTCTTATTCTCATGAATGCAATATCTTCAAATTTTGCATAAACATCCACTATCAGTCAAGGATAAGGATAGATATTAGATTTTGTTGGTCAAAGGTCAAGGCCACTGTGACCTTGCATTTGTCTTATTCTCGTGAATGTGATATCTCAAAACACCCTGAGGGGATTTCACAAGCGTCCACTTTGAGTCAAGGACGAAATGTTTACACTTTGGTGGTCAAAGTGTAAGGTCACTGTAACCTGTTGGTGTGACCTCCTTCGCTGCATTCCTGAGAATGTGGTATCTCAAGAAAGCCTTGAGAAATGTTTTTCAAATTTGGCACAAACGTCCCCTTGGACTCAAGATTGAACTGATTAGAATTTGGTGGTCAAAGGTTGAGGTTATTATTTTAACCTTTTAACCAGCATGTTTTTGGCTGTAACTCGTAAATTTACATGCTAATTATGACAAATGTTCACTCAAAGTCTAATAGGACAAAATGGTGACATGATGACATTTAATATCAAAAATGTCAGAAGTCAGCTTTACTGTAACATCATAAAACCCTTTTCTGGAACAGAAGGGGAGACATAAGTCAGATACTAAATTGATGACTGTGGTGATTGTATAGGTCGTCTGTGCTGCTGAGTTGAAGATGCATGTGAAGCATCCATGTTTTGATAGACCTGGAAGCAAACTGTAACTGCAACTTAACTGGTTCGCAGAGGCAAACAACAGTGAGGCGGTAATTCTAGATTTTTCTCCAAAGAGATTTAACGCCATAATGTCTTGTGCAGACAAGCCCACACATCAGTGTCAGTCAACAGTCTGCAATGAGCAGTGCTGGAGGGAGGGAAAACAAAGTCGGGCTTCTTTGCTTGTCATCAGTTCATATTTCCTTACAATCCTTCTCCCCGCACACTCAGTTTAATAGGAGATAAGAGACGAGAGCCAGCAGAACTAACACAAGCTCCTCAAAGTACTACTTAAAACAAGATGCTATTGCTTCTCAAGCCTGCCAAGATGATAACAGAGATTCAGTCTCAGCTCTATAGCAGTCTGTGGCCAGAAGTTGTTTGATTAAAAAAAAAAAAAGATCTGCAACCTCACATTATTTATGTGTCTTGAGAGCTAATCTCATGTCTCGTGACACATTTCATATGTAGCTTTTGTGGGATTTACTTGTCATGTTGTGCTTGAGCAAATCTCCAAAACATCAGAAAAGTTGCAGTACAGGCTTTGATTTCATCAGAGGACCTCTGCATCAAATATGAGAAATCATCTGCACTTTTTTTGCCATTCTTTAAATGCTTCTTTATTGCCACCACACAGCCTGCACTTCTTTTGATGGACATCGTGTCCCCAACGCCCAAAACACAACCAGCAGTGTACATTGTAACCTGCACGTCAGGTTTAGGCAGCTGTCAGGTAGTAAGTAAAGAATATATTGTGAACAGAGTTTTGGGGATTACCAAGACAAAAGATTTTTCTTTTACTGCCCCAACAAAGGGTGAGTTTCTGTGACAAAGGAGTTTAGAGTGCACTGAACATTTCCTGACCTGTTGCATAACTCACAGACAGAGACACTACTTTCTTTAATGGACATTGTATGTCTGAGGTTGAAGGATTGGTTCTTCCAAACTGCAAAACAAATATTTTATCACTTACCTCTAGTGATACCTAGCCAAGCACATAGTTTTGGTTTTATTTGCCCACACTTTGAGATATTCCTCTGTGAGATTTCTGCCTCAAACCAGTACAATGGAAGTGAATTTAATTTCATGTGTGGTGCTCACAGCATTGAAAAATGAAGTCTAATATTCAACTCACTCCAAGGAAACATGGATTAAATCATTATTATCAACATTTTTTAAAGGAGCTGCACACGACATTTAGAGCACATTTGTAATTTAATGTCTGAGCCTGGATCGTTTGCACATGTTCTCAACACGGAGGTGACTAATCTGGCTGCTAGGAGCTAATGTTGCTAACAGCAGGAACAGTACTGACAGAGCTAACAGTGTTAACCTGGGGAGGGGATCAGAAGGTGGATATTATGCTTTTGCGATGCCGTCCATGTTATCAGCTGTAACTGCACATAACTACTGTACGAGCACAGTGCAGAATGGTAGTGATTAGCCAGCCATTGGGATACACCTCGGGTGTGTAAAAAGAACCTCCAATGAAAGTTGCCTAGTGGCGTAATAACCTAAAAAAAAATTCAACTTAGCGAGTGTAAATTCACCTGTATCTCCGCATCATTGGGCCCAAAAAGGCAAGGGCACTAGGGACTTTTGTCACCTGAGTGGCTTCTTTCCTGTTTAGTCCTGTGCTAACTTGAAAGGGAATAAATTGATTTAATCGTGCGGCTTTTCTAGACTCTCAAAATGTTAGCAGACCAAATCGGGATGAAATCCCGATGGTAAAAGATATCATTTTGCAGGGGTATGACGCTCAAAAAATGTTTCCACTCATTTACAGACGTCTTTTTCACAATGTACGTTTATGGGGAAAAGTCATTTTGGGTCCAGTGGCATCACATGACGAACCCAGACGTTGAAATTCAATGGTTTGGCCTCTATTTCAAGTTGATTTCAAAGCCCAGCAATGTTCTTGGGGGGTTAAACACACATGGACTCATGTCTAACATGCACGAGCAGCTGGACAGTCTACCACAACAAAGAACAGAGAAGATTACAACACCCAGCGAGGTAGAGCGACTTTATCCTCTGTTCAGGACGCATTACTCCTCTATATCTTCACAAAGCAAGTAGTGGTTCGCTGCTATATGAATGCTCTGGATGTCTTATACAGAACCTTTTGCCGATATGAAATGGACTCCCTCGGATGACCAACCTCTGTTTTTAGATGTGCAATGAAAAAAGGTCATTAGAGTCAAAACTCATGCTGGAGTTTTTGATAGGTTTGAATTACATCCCTGTTGTTGTTGGCCATTTAGGGATGCTCACCCAAACCACAAATATTACCTCCCTTGGTTTCCATGGTTTCAACCTCTTCTCCATCTCTAGTGGTGGCTGAAATTCCAAAATCAGCTAACAGACATTTCAGAGGTGCAGCCAATATGTGTGCCAGTATCTGTGTGTTTATTGTGGAGGCAAGAGACAGCCACAGAGAGTTCAGGCTATGAAGCATTAGAAACATTAAGACAGAGCAGTGTGTTGCCAGGGAAAATGTGTTTGCAGACATGTACAACCAACCAATAATAACCAGTAATTTGTCGTGTGAAGTCAGACATCATGACAGAGTGAGGGTTTGGAAAAGAAGTCTCTCTACTTGCCCTGAGGGAAGAACGAAGTTTGTACTTTTATGTGTCTTTTGAAAAGTTTCAAGTGTAATTTCTACTGTATTATTTAGTTAACATTCTCAAGCTATAACTTGATTTTTTTTTTACAGGTGGTTCACCAGTCATGGCTCCCAAGAGCAGCACAGCCCCGTCAGACAAGGGCCCAGTTTCTCTCAAAGTCAACCTCCTGCAGTTCAGAAAGAATGTCTCTGACCTCAGGATGCAACTCCATCAGATGAGACAGCTGCAGGTGAGACCTCTGTCATCTTTTAATTAGTTTTGAGTGTGTTGGTATCCACTACGGCTTTTTATGCTGGCCTGCTAGTTCAGGTCATCTAATATCTCATTCCCGCTGTGTGCATCTCCTCAGCTTCAGAACCAGGAGGCATTACGAGTCCAGCTGAAGCGGGCAGAGCAGGAAATCAGTGTAAAGCTTGCAGAGGCCATGCGGGGTGTTGAGGACCCCGTGCAGAGGCAGAGAGCTTTGGTAGAAGAGGACAGGCACAAGTACTTGGGTCTGGAGGAGCATGTCCTCACACAGCTCGGGTAAGGCTGCTCACAGTTCACTCATTCACTTCCATAACAGGTGCTGTTTTTCATATAGTCTGAAACGGATAGATAAGGTTGTTTGCATTCATTACTGAATGTTTGTTGTTGTAATTAATAGAGACGATTTAGTGCACACCCATGCAGCTCTAGTCAAGGTGTTTCTATTTATAGGAAATCCCCAAAAGGCTTCATTTTTATCAGCTTACCTGGGCTATTCACTCCTAAACTCTTCGACGAGCCAACGCCCTCTAAATTACAGCTCACAGGTTTATACAGGCAAGAGTGCCTGCCTCTCAGAGACAGCCAACTAGAACAATGGACCCAACTGTGTAGAAGCTACCCTGCTTCTTCTTCTAATTCACTTGCTGCATCTTGCCAACAGGGAGCAGTAATTATATCTTTTTTTTTTATTTGGATGTTTACAGGCAAGGTTAAACTGTGTTGTCTTGCTAGGCAGTGGTTAACATATGCTCCAATAAACAACGATATCAGCTCATGGAGACTGAGAAGTGAGCAGAAGGAAGTCAGTGGATTAAGCTCGCTGTTACCCTTGGTATTCAGCCAGTTGTGAGTCAGCAAAACACGGCAGCTGGCTTTTTAAATAAGGCTTGGTAATTAGGGTTGCTTGGCTTTAAGGCCAGTGGGAGAATGTGGTGTGAAAACCACTGCCCTCTCAAGAGGAGAATTAAATCTATCATGACCAAAAAGGGTACATTTTGTTTCATTTTATGCCTCTGTGGCAACAAAAAAGGCCCAGTACTTTAAATTATGAAACTGGTACTACATAAAATAGTTTGCCAGTAGTCCACGGTCAGGAAGAATTGAAATAGCCAAAGTAAATAGGCGTAGTAGTAGAAATCGGATGGAAAGCGGATGGGTTCTCATTGTCAATGGACAGTATTGATGATGGTTACGGAGCTTACACACAGCAAACATACAGAGCATTTTATTCAGATAGCGGGTTTGGTCACATGCTTGTGATCCCATACTGTAAGTCTCAGTTGATGGCAGTAATTTACAGTATAAGGAAGAGAAAATGAAAAGCACATGATGATCCCTTGAGCTAATGCTGTCTTAAGTACTTGATGAGGGTATTTGTGTGGGTGGCGCCCCAAGTGGTGGCCATGAACTCCCTTAAAAAGTTGCTGGCGCCCCAAGTGCCCACCTTGGTGTGTTGTTTTTAAATGTAGTAAGTACAATCATGCCTGCCTGTCTTTTGACTCACTGCCTACCAGGCAGCATCTCTCATGTGGAGCAGTTTGTACTTTTTCATGGTCAATGTCAGGACAATATTGGTTGGTTAACCACAGCAGCAATCGATGTCTCCTCCACACATATTTCTTTGCTATTGTTTGAGGCTGCAACTTTGCCAATGCGGTCCAAGTTGACCAAAGTTGACCTCCGCGCAGTACGAAGATGCGGATTTGCTCTGCCACAGAAAGCGAATGTTTTATCCGCCCATTTGCTTGTATTGAAGAGAAGTGCAAATGTAAATTTAGCTCATGTGCGGCTTCACACTAAAGCTTTATGCCAAACAACAAGCTTATTTAAAGAACAATGAACCATCTAACACATACAGATACACAACTCAAATGATACCTGTGCCAGCATTAGTCTGTGCACAACAGATAATTAGTAACATTAACTGTAAAATAAGAAACCTAAAATTTTTGGTGGCCCCACCTGGCCACCCCTATGAAAATTTTCTGGGGCGCCACTGTCTGTGAAGGCTGCCTCTTATACTCTGGCACACAGAGATGTAAATTATGGTGACATATTGTATTTGTTTTTGTCTGCGGGAGGCTCGATTAAAAAAGTCAAATCTTTTTCCTTTGTCCTCAGCTGGAATTTCCCATCAGCATTCCCATTACCAACAGGCCTTGGCATAGCAGGGCATTTAACACACTGTCTCCTTATTACCTCTCCCACTCCCTTCAGGGGAGTTCTATAAAAGAGTGTTTCTCAGGGGTACCTGGCCACAATGAAACACCATTTTAGTCCCTCTCATGCAATCCAACACAGCACACAATGTTATCATTCGGCACATTTCCCCCCGGAGTAGCCATTTTTCTCGAGCACTCGGGTGGCTGTGAGGCAGCGTGCTGTGTGTTCTATGTGAGGAAGTGCTCTCGTACAAATAAGCACTCACTGAGAGTGTAAACATTTGTGGTTTTTGATGACTATCTAGACTAAGCAATCTGATGTAGAGAGGAAAGTGAAGTGCCAAGTGGGAATATTTGCCTGTGTTAATCACTGGACATATCTTTACATATGATCTAATTTCTTCTTCTTATTTTTTTTTTATTTTTTTTTTTTTTTTATGAATCATGTCCCAAAGTTTGCCCTCACCTTACCCAACCCTTATCACTGTGTGATCTTTAAGATAAATGATTGTCTCCTGCCCCCTGGTGTCTGTTAAGAGTAAATAAAATATTGATAGTAGTATAAAAATACTTTATCAAATTGTGCCCAAGTAGGTACATATCAGTGTAACAGAAACAAAAATAGTCCCTGGAGTGAAATTACATACATACTTTAAAACATATAATCATGAGTTTATATTATTTTTCAGTTCCACCATTGAGCATATTGTATTTACTTCAAACTTAGTTCAATATTCTGTGTACTGACCAATTGTTGTTGGAAAACTGGATTCTCTCTCTCAGCTCTCAGTGTTTTATCCTTTTCATGGTGCATTTTTTTTTTTTTTGCCTCTGTAGTGAGCTGGAGCAGTATGTAGGCTCTCTGCAGAAAGACTCCGCAGCAACACACAGAGTAGTGACCCTGAAAGACGTGGAGGAGGGAGCGGTGACTCTGAGGAAGGTGGGAGAGTCTCTGGCAGGCCTCAAAGGTAAGACAGCAGATGATATTCCTACTACTGGGCTCAGTATCGTGTGTAGCCCTCTGGCTTCTTGTTAAATGAAGGATATAAGATTTTGTGGGCTGTATTACAATATCAATATGTATCATAACATGTTAAAAATACACAGTAAAATAGTTAAAGTGAGGATCAATGTATTAAAACTGCGGTCCACTATTTTGGTTTACATGAGCTTGTGTAAAACAAAGACTTTAATTACTAAAGTTTTACATATTTTAATCATGGATATTTGAGAACAGTGTCACAAGCAGATCATATCACGTCTGCCAAAATTTGATAAGTGACATCATTAAATTGTTGCCCAGCCCTTTAAGCCAGTCATGTGGTTTATTGCTGACATGATGGACATTCCTCCCTTCCCAGCCTGACAGACCAGACTCTTATGTATAAAACCATAAAACTGTACTTTCTTCTCAGAGGCTATGCAGTTACTGCATTTCAAGGTCTAATATCTAGGATTTATGGGGATATATTAGCAGAAATAGAATATAAGTATGTTTTCTTAAGTATATAATCACCTGAAAATAAAAAATGTGTTTCTTTTACCTTAAAATGAGCCGTTTATATATACATAGTAGGGTTGATGGTTATCATACTGTGAACATTTGCTTATCTACAGTGTTAAATTTTACACAATGTTCCTTTAATTGTTTATGGAAGCTATTTCTGAATAACGTTTTTCCACAGGTAATAATGTATCCCATTGAACAGCTATGTTTGCTCACAGTACCTCAATGAACGCTATCAATATGAGTTTCACTTAAGGAATGTAGCGTCATGACTGTCTAAATGTTATTCTAAGGCTTTCCCACACTGCAAGAAATAACAATCTAGGTAGAGATAAAATAAAACATCTGGAATCAGGCTTTAAAAAACTGAGATTGGTCATAAATATTCTAAAACAATAGCTACACACAAAGTGTTCATGTTTCTCTGTGTGTTTCCTCAGGAGAGTTCCCAGCCCTGCAAACCAGAATGCGGTCTGTGCTCAGGGTGGAGGTGGAAGCTGTCAAGTTTCTGAAGGAGGAGCCTCATAAACTGGACAGCATGCTGAAAAGGGTCAAGAGCCTGACTGACACACTCAGCAGTCTAAGAAGGTAGAGGAAAGATGAGGAAGAAATGTCAGTGGAGATAAAGTAGGGATCAGGAGAAGAGGTGCTGGAGTGAGAGTGGGAATTTAAGATGAAAACAAAAAGCACTCTGTGGAGCTCCTCACAGGGGTCTGTGATGTGCGAGATTGTACTATTTGATTATACTGGCAAGCCTGCCTTCATCCCATCAAAGAGGTCATTCAGTGTGGACAGACAAGTGTGGCGTCCAGCTTGATTTACTTCCATCGCCTTCACTGAACCGATAAGTGAATTAATTTGGTGGACACTGCGGCGCCTCATTTCCATTTTAATATGTCACAGATACCAAGTTCAATCTCGACTGTTCTCTCACTCTCCTTCCATGACTCTCTTGTCTTTTACCCGAAACAGTCGCCAAACCATGAGACATTGCATCATAGCTTTTGGGGTGTTTTTATCCCTCATGTCAGAATTAATCAAAATATTTTGTCATGTTTATTATAGGGTTGGATGTATTTTCAGTCTGGATGAGAAATTAAAAAGACTGTAAATACTAATTTTGGTTGTTAAATGGATTCATATCAATGTTATGTATTGTTTCAACAATACTGATGTGATTTATAAGTGGGTCACCTAATGTAGTAACAAACCACAATTTTGAGCAAGCAAAACATTTGAAGATCAGTGTTTTCCACATGGTCTGTATGACACACTGTCTCCCGCCTGTGTGCAGATGTGCGACTGAGGGCCCTCAGAAAGGACCCGATCCCTCTGCTAATGTCCCAGTGGACAACAGCCCTTCAGCAGCACCACCAGACGCCCCGGCAGAAGCTCTCGCAGCATCAGCCCAGCCTGGCTCCACATCAGCCCCGCTGGAGCCCCAGAGCTCCACCATCAAATCCGAGGTGATGCCTTCCTCTCCGGTGGTCATCCATCATGTCCAGAGCTCCCCGGTGCACATGCAGCAGTCCCAGCAGTCCGCAGCCTTGACAGCTCAGCCCAGTCCACCACTCACCCCCAGCCCCACTCACGTCCCCAGTCCCATCCTGAGCAAGAGTCAAGGCCGGGAATCTCCTAAGGGGGCAGCCTCGGATCCACCGAGTCCTGCCCGTCATAAGAAGCCACAAGGGAACCCAGTGAATAATGGCAACGGCACGGCCAGCCAGGGTCTTGTCATCGAGGAGCTCCAGAGCAGTCAGGACAAGAACAAAAACAGAGCTATGTCCATTCAGGTATGTCTAGTTACAGTATAATTCTCATTTGGTCTGATTTATTTTTATCCAGCTTAGTAAAGCTGTGCTGATTTGTCATTGGCATCATATAAATGTCAACCTGGTTACTCTGAATGCCATTATTTTGCCCTTTAAGGCACCTGTAGTTAATTATTTTGTGTTGCTATCATAGAGATTATCTTCCCTTACTCAGCTTCTTTAGATTCAGACTTGTGAGGAACCTTCTCTTTCTCATTAATTCTTGTAGGCAGCAGAGAAGGAGTGGCAAGAGAGGAGGCAGAACATGGGGCATTATGATGGAAAAGAGTTTGAAAAGATCCTCCAGGAGGCCCAGGCCAACATGATGAAGGGCATTCCCAGTTTGGAGGTGGAAGAGAACCCAGCAACTCTCCCTGCTACTGCTGCAGAACAAGCAGACATCCACAACCCCGTGGAGTCGCCGACAGGTACAAATCTAACACAACTGTAACTTTAAGACAGAGTTGGCATACATTTTAAAGTACACCCACCTTAATGATTTCACCTCTGTTATATTGTATGACAGAAGAGCCCCAGTCTGATCATCACTCTGACAAACTGAGCAAGAAGGGGCCTGAGAAACTCCCAAAGCCTGTGATGGAGAAACCAGCCAAACCTGTGCTGGAGAGACCCTCCAAGCCAGCCCCCACTGACAGCTTTACCAAGCAGGGATCTGAAAAGGCCAGCAAGTCCCCACCACCTCCTCCTCCTAGGAAGACCTTCACCAGCTCGAGCTCAGGCATGACCACCACACGCTCTGGCGAAGTGGTCTACACCAGCAGGAAGGAGTCCGTCTCGGCACAGGTCAGTCTGAGGGAGTTGTCTTGTCTTTTATTTCTCTGTTTGCAGGTTGTGGTGCGCTAAGACCCAGGACCCCACATTAGTTTAGCTTAGTTTAGCTTAGCTTAGCATAAAGACTAAAATGGGGGATACGGTTAGCCTGGCTGGTTGGAAAAGAGACAATTTTCTTCTCATAAATTCTAACAGGAGAGCGAAGAGGACGCTCCACCTCCAAGTCCCCAACCCAAGCCCAACAAGGTTGCACCAGAGACTAAGCCGAAGCCAGCCACCCCTCCCCCCGTCACTGCCTCTGCTACCAGAGAAGAAGAGGATGAAGGGGACAAGATCATGGCCGAGCTCCAGGTTAGATGCATATGTACACTCAAGCACTCACACACACACACTCATTCACACAAACATATGAACAAAAACAATCTGTGACATCTGTTGATTTCCGTATTGTGGGAGTGGGTCTGTTATTTCTTCCCGTGGTGGTTGGATGGGCACTGACAGCTGCCGAAGCTCCTTGATTTTGAATCTAACTTTGTCAGGTGTCGGGTTCTACAGCTCTGACAGAGGTACTCAAAACTTCTTCCCTCCTGAAAATCCTTGTTCCCATTTCCCCTTCACTTTTCTCCACTCCTCAGGTTTTCCAGAAGTGCACAGTTAAGGATGTAGGGGTGAAAAATTTGGTAGAACCCACCTCTCGAATTGAACCGCAAATCAGAGAGCTAAGACCAGGGGCCTTAATGCCCCTCAAAGAGAAAAAGGTAAAATATACATCGCCTTGCAGCTACCCACCTAACTGCCTGCCTCTGCCCACTGTCTGATTACAATCGATGGCTGTGTCTTAACCCTTCTACAACTTCTGCACCCTTGCTTTGGCTCGAGAGAAACCTGTAACAGCTGCCTCCAAAAAGCTCCTTTCCTTGCTGCCTCAGTTTCCTTCCCTCTTTTGATTCTGCTGGATATCTCGGCTTGAATATACTTCAGGATTAAGTCTGCATAAAATGAAGCCTCTGAAAAGATGCTGTGTCTTTTGTGCGCCTGGACCAGACAATGATGTGTTATGCCACTGATTTAATTATCACTCCTCAATAAAGACCTCGGCACTGTATTCTACAGGCAATTAAATCGTCTTGTGTCTTTCTTTAATTACCTGTCTTCATACAAAATCACGAGAACAAATATTTCTCAAGTGATTGATAATTGAGAGAAACAACGTAGTTAAAAACTCACAACCTACAGACACAACCTGTTTTTGCAGACTTGGTTCACTAGAGGTCAGTCTGGCCACTTTGCATGCTACTTTCCTCCACTTATACTTTTCTGAGGGTTCTGTTTCTCTTTGTCTTTGCACAACTTTACTTCAGTTTGCTTTCCCAGCTTCACACCTATATAACCAGCACAACCCAATATTTTTTCACATTTAGGTCAAACATGACACACATTTAATATGATTTCGATGTGACAAAGAGGACAGGTATGTTCACATGCAATGAATTTTAGCAGTTTAAAGCCACGTTTGAACATTATCTATATATTAGTATCATCTCAGAAGCATATGAGTAGTTACTCTAAATAATAAAACACAAAATATTGCGTTAAAGGTAAAAATTGCATGCCCCAAATGATTTCACTAAAATGAAAGTAGTATGGGAAGATACAGTACTTGCATAGTATGAGCAGTGTGCACTCTAAGAACAGAACAGGATGTTTAAAGGTTAATAGGAAAATCAATAGAAACCACAAGCAGAGACAAGTTTCTTGAAACGTGTAAAAAATGAGAATGTAATTGCTGTATTACATTTGCAGTAAAAGCGCAGAAAAGAACAGGCAGCCATTAAAAAAAAAAGCTGATTTGACTGTTGTAAAATAAAGCGGCTTATAGTCTTAGCTGTTAAACAGTAATATTTATTCATTTTCCCTGCATGCATTTTGATATACAGCATTTAATATCACAGCAGTATATAAAAGTGATGTCGCACAGTATAATTCTCGAGTCAGTCTGAGCTGTACACACTTTTAGAAGGTAATCACTCAATGCAGTGTTGACACCGCAAATGCTACTGCAATAATGTATGTGAATTTACACTTAACCCACAGCAACCTGACACACCAGTTGCACAGTAATATTATTCCCTCACACACTGTCCTAGCAGAGCTCAGAGCCCACTCGAGAGGATAAAGACCCAGACACAGATGAAAATGGGAACACTACTGTCCGACAGAGCCAAGGGGTATGTAAGACTTTCAATTATTAACATTTTATTCATTAATAGTCCATGTATGTTCTAGATTTTGAGATATTTTAAACAGCTACTTCTTTATTTTCAGGTCATTTACTACGTGACTGGACAGATTCCCAAAGAGCATCCACCCTCATCAGGAACGGAGGAAACCCCCGAGCACAGAGAGCCCACACAGCCTCCATCACAGGTGTCAAATGTCAATGTTAACGACAATTCTCCAAGCCAGCAGCAACAGCCACAGCCTCTGTCTCCACCACCTAAATCACCCCCGCCTTTAACACCTCCGCCGATATCACCTAAACCTGTGGGACTGAAATTCAAACTTCCAAGGAAGCAAGTTAAACGCTCTGAATCCTTAAAGACCAGTGCAGAAATGGAGAAGGGAAAAATCCTCAACAAAATTAACACTGAAAAGAGCAGTAAAGTCGTTCAGCAACGTGTTTCGTCCAGCAAGAAGATAATACCTGAGCCTGTGGCAACCACAACAACCAGTACCATAAAAGAGGCGCCTACAAGTTATGTTGCTCCACCGAAAAAGGCTCCTAGTGAGGACAGTAATCCACCTAAAGCTGACTGTGAGGATAATAACGGCGAGGCCAGTCTTAGTCCTGATTTACCTGGAGAAGAGGCACCTCCACCCCCGGACAACATAGCATTTATGATCACTAACACCAAAGTCCAGGCCCTGTCCTGTGGCGAGTACCAGGAACTGGTCAATGCCAAGAAAGGAAGCGTCCAGACTGTTACTGTCGGTAATGCCGCCAACCGAGGGAACACCACAGAGGATTCTAATGTGCCTCAGGATAACGGCTTCAACAAGAAGCCTGTCATCATCATTTTTGACGAGCCCATGGACATCCGCTCAGCGTACAAGCGCCTGTCCACCATCTTTGAATGCGAGGAGGAACTGGACAGGATGTTAGCGGCAGAATGCATTGAGGAGGAAAGCGAGGAGTCTGACACGGAAAGGAGTGGTAGGCTGCAGGTTAAAGCGGCAGGAACAGAGGTGGTTGATGGCAAAAATGACAGCGCTCCGCAGGTCTCTGCTGACCATGTTAGCTTATCATCCTCATCTACATCTTCAGTGTCAGAGCTAACAGACAGTAGCGTGACCTCAGAGTCAAATGGCGATGCCAAGCAGGATAAAAAGAAGTTTAAGTTTAAATTCCCTAAGAAACAGCTGGCAGCGCTGACGCAGGCCATTCGCACAGGCACCAAGTCAGGCAAGAAGACTTTACAGGTGGTTGTGTACGAAGATGAGGAGGAGTCAGACGGTACTGTCAGGCAGCACAAAGAAGCAAAGAGATTTGAGATTGCACGCTCAAAATCCTTAGCAGACTCTCCCAAGGCAACAGGAACGGCTGCGCTTAGGAGGCAGAACTCCGACTCCCTCTACAGGACGGATGAGATCCGGAAGAACACCTACAAGACACTGGACAGCCTGGAGCAGACCATCAAGCAGCTGGAGACCACTATCAGTGAGATGGGACCGCTCTCCCCTGAAGAGCCAGTCTGCACGGAGGAGGCTAAAGCAGGGAATGGGAAAAGCTCAGATGGAGTGGGGCTGAAGAGGTCTTCCTCTCTCCCTACCTCCAGAGGGTCAGGCCCTAAGGTACCCAGCAAAAATCCATTGCTGAAGAAGACTAAACCTCAGCTCCTTCCTCGCCCTGTAATCATCCCTACTACCACCACCACCACCACTGTCCCCAGTGCCCCCAGCACCGTACAACAGGTCTCTCTCTAGCTCTTGTTGCTCCGGGAGGCTTTGGGTCCTTCTTTTTTTTTCAGTTTACAACCTCCCTTCACTCCAACCCTAACCACTGAATTTACAAAATCATTAATCCAATCCACAGGTGCCGGGAAATGTTGGAAATGTCCCCCGTGGCTTTCTCCCTCTGTGAAATCATGATGACATGATTGGGGGTGGCATTTTGTTGGGTTCCTGGCTACCATATTCCTCCTTGAGTTCATTGCTAAACCTCTGAGGTTTCCAGCAAATGGCAAACTCATCATCAAAACACTCATGATGATTAAGCTCTGATATCTTCCTTATTCTTGACTGCATGTACTACTGTGTATTGACTAAAAGGTTTATGGTCCCACTGGGTGCATGATCTTTCACTGGTGATGATCGTTGAGGTGTCAGTGCCTTGATTTTTCATACTTCCTTTATGGTGTGTGTTTTTTCTTTCTTTTGTTTTATTTCTTGTTTTGTTTTTCGTTTGGATTCGTTTGCAGAACACCAGTGTCGCTTCCCCTACTAGTCGGATGCCCGTCCCTTTGTCTGCGAAGTCCAGGCAGTCGCCGGGTACGACTGACAAAGCAGGAAAACAGCAAAAACTGCAGGACGCTCAGAGGCAGTTTCGACAGGTAGTTTTACTGTAGGGCCTTACCAGAGACTAGAGGAATCAAACATATAGGGATCAAAAACATGAGGCATGTATTATTAGAGGAAAAAAGACTACCAAAGCTGTGAGATTTCAAGTGTTTTGAAAAAAATAAAGTCACCACAGTGACGTCTGTGGATCTGTTAATGTTTCTCTCGAGTCTGCTCTGACAAGAAGGCATGTTTGACTCTTGACTGTTACCCCATAACATCACTGTACTGTATGCTTTTGCATGTCCACACTGCTCATGGTTTTCACTGTGTTGGTGACTAAACATACAAAAAAAAATGGAAAAATGGCAAAGAAAAGTGGAATCCTACCCTGTCATCATCTGAGTTGTCATCACATCTCCAGTTCCCATCACAGCTGAGCTCCTAAACAGTGTCGCCAAATTCCCAGGATGCTTATGGCTATGTTAAAATACAAACCTAACTGACTTTTATGGCTATGCTCCTCCCTTTTCACAATGCACCTCTGCTCAAACCCCAACATCACTGCACAGCTTCTTAACCTCACGGTGATATACCCTCTTAGCCTCAAGACCACGCCACAACTCACCATCTTGCACCAGTCGGTTTCAGTGGAATACCAGCCCACATCTCCCCTGTCTGCTCCCACTCTTCAAACTCCTAACCCTGTTATCTAATTCTCTCCAGCCTTCCTATGCATTGTTGCCTTGTGAATTTTCCCCCCACAGCCCCTTTACGAGGCCTAACTCTAACATAGGCGGTCTGTAGAGACGCCCCTCCTGTCTGCCATCGCACGGTCTAACCTTTGCAGTGTTCTGTTTCTTGGTAACATGTCTCTTAGTTCATATAACCTAGAAAAAACAGGCCTTCTGTATGTGTTTTGGTGTCTCTTAGTTGTGTCTCAGTAATTTTAATGTTTGTGTAGTCTTAGTGTGTTTCTGTGTACATAACTTGTAGTTTTTTTAACATCGTCTTGCCTTTAATATGTATTATTTGACCAGATTTCTTTTTGACAACCAGTATCTGTTTTGGCATCTCTGTTTGCAGGCTAACGGAAGTGCTAAAAGAGTGGGAGGGGATCATAAAACTACTTCCCCTGCTATACCCACCTCTAAAATCCCTGCTTTTTATCCTAGCTCTACTAAAGGCAGCTCCCAGTCTGCACAAAACTCAGATGCTACTAATCCCAATAACCCTTCCTCTTCCTCCTCCTCCTCCTCTGTGACAAAGTCCTCCATCCTGTCCTCTCACGCTCCTCGTTCCGGTTCCCAACCCTCCTCCCACATCCCCTCCCTGTCTAACGGATCCCTCAAACTCCCCACACCCTCACAGCACACAGGTAAAGCTCTGTCGTTCTCCTCGCAGACTCAGAATGGTCGAGTGCACTCCTCCTCCTCCTCTTCATTCTCCTCCTCCTCATCCTCCTCCTCCTCCTCCCCCTCCCCTCTGTCGCCCACACCTTTGGGCCCAGGTGGAAAGAGCATCCGCACCATACACACTCCCAGCTTCACCAGCTACAGGTCCCACAACGGCAGCAGCGGCAAATCCTGCATCCCAACAGCCACAGCAGCTAAGGACACTACCTAGCCCCATTATCGCCCCTCTGGCTTTTACCGCAAAGCAGGTAGAGCTGGTCATGTCTCATTTTATCTAGTTTTGGTTTGCTGTTTGTCTGTTTTTGAGCATTTTTGTAAAAGTATTAAGTGATGCACTCCCCCACTTCATGTTTATTTGACACTGGCATTTTCGCACCGATGCTTCTATCTCCTTTAAGTTGCAATTTCCTGTTTAAAAAAAATACTTGGATTCTGACTCTTTCTCGGAGGTGTACAAGATGTTCTGACAAAATATTTTATAATGGAACTAAAAAAGATTTAGTTTTACCACTTTGTAGTTGAAGTGGAAAGCTCTCATGGTGTTGAAAATCTATTTTTCTTGCTGTAGCTATGAATAGGGAATATAGAGTTGATGTACAATCACAAAATACCATGTAAAAATGTTGTTTTATTTTTCAAAGCAGAGATTGAATAACCATAGTATATTTAATCTTCTATATTTCTTATGTTGCCAGACATTCAACGCAGCCCTTGTAAATGCCTTTTATGAGTGTATACATAGTGTATACAGACATTTTAAAGTTGAACTCATTATTAACTTCTGTTTTCTAAGAGTATTTTCTCATTTTTTCACCCATATAAACTGCCAATTTCTTTTACAGATATGTAAAACTGGTATCATAAGGAATACAAGTTTTCATTTTAGTGTGCCTATTTGCCAAAGTTGTTAAATAATGACTCACTTCAGGCCTAATCCAGTCACAAGATTTAGGGGAATTTACATGCACTCTCTTGGTGTGATGGCTGAAGTGTTGACCACAGTGTTTGTACTGCTGGTCCCGGTTTGTTAAGTTAACATGTATTGTTGTCTAAATGTAAACTGTACTAAAAACAAAGTGAATCCGTTCTACCACAATGTACATAGAGGCTTCTAATAAGAAAATAAGTAGTTTTGTTAACATACCAAAGTTTATTTGTATGCATGCCTTTCAAATACTTTAGGAGAGTGGTGTAAAAGAAGAATTATGTTTGCACAGATAGATTTTTGTAAATATCTGGTTTTCTCTCATTTTTGTAAAGCTTTAAATCATACTATAAAGGAGCAATGTGGTAAAGATAAAACTGTGTTGGAGTAGCAACAATAAAGACTTGCATGCTTGTAATGCATTGAGCTTCAAGGTATTTTTTTTTTGTTGTCTGTTTCTGGCTTCCTGTTGAATATCTGAGTGTGCGTGTGTGTGTGTGTGTGTGTGTATGTGCATGCATGTGATTAAGTGTATTTTTAGGTCAGTGGTTAAGTTGGTGTTCAGGTAGGGGCTAAGTGTCTAGGAAATGATTGTAAGTCTATGTAATGTCCCCAGTTGTGACCTAAGTAAACCTGTGTGTGTGTGTGTGTGTGTGTGTATATGTGTGTCTGTGTGTCTGTGTGTGTGTGCATGCCTGCTTGTGTGTGTGTGTGTGTGTGTGTGTGTGTACTTGTACATGCACACAGTAAGGACCAAACAATGTATTTTAGCAACAGAGTGAGGACATCTTTGCAAAATGAGGACATTTTGTGACCTCACTTCTTCAAAGGCCATCAAAGACATTTGGGGTTCAGGTAAGGATAATGTTTAGGTTAGGGTAAGGGTTAGTGTTAGGCGTTTAGTTGTGATGGTTAAGGGTAGGGTTAGTGACTAGGAAATGCATTGCGTAAATAAGAGTCCTCAGAAAACAGAAGTACAAGAATGCGTGTGTGTGTGTGTGTGTGTGTGTGTGTGTGTGTGTGTGTGTGTGTGTGTATAAATACAAAAGTGGAAACGCTCTAACAGAGCAGTTCTCACTTCCACTTCACCTGTCTCTACTCATGCAAAAGATTTCACTTCTGATAATAAATATACAGAAGAACTCTGCACTATCGATTTCTACGATCAAAGGTAAGAATATGAATATCAATTATATTAATGATTATTGACACAGTACCACATGTGAGGTCCACATGCCTTAAATTTATTCTTACAATATTGTAGTGGATTATTATGTGATAAGATAGTAAAGCTCAAAGATTAGGGGTGCTTTAAATACTTAGCATGTAGCACCATTTTCTAAGTTTATCATTGAACTGAAACAGTAACTGCCTCAAAGTCATGAACCACTGTTTAGCGGTAGCATCGATATGTTTAATTACATTGGTATAACTTGGCTGTATGTGCACTGTAACAGCAATAAGTGCTGTATTAGTTCCCTTGGGGAAATCCCCCACCCTTATTTTTTTCGCAGTTGCAGTTTGCATCCCAACAGTGTAAGCAAAGAAATCATGACTCAAGACAGTTTTCATGACTTTATATATACAAATATATACCACTTAATTAAAAATGTGTTGTTTACATCCTTAATGTAATGCAGTCCTGTGATTTTTGGCCAAGTTTATTGGACGGGGAACATATAACCAACATAAATTTTTTAACACTTAAATGTATTAAACAGAGTTAAAGCCAAAAGAGAAGTTACATCTCTAGTTCTCAGGCAGGTGAACAACAAAGCAGACTGCATTGCACAGAACAAGAGCTATAAAATACTGTTCACTATGTGTATATTCACAAGATGCACATGATATCCACACAACAGTTGTGGTCGTGCAGTCAACAATTGTCCATAAAAATGTAAATGATGATTCCATTGTTGATTCTCTGTCACTGTTTTTTTCTAGCATAATAGGAAACAAATCTGGGGAAGCTTTATTATTAGATGGAAAGGAGGTCCATTTTTGTTTGTTGTATCTGTGGTTTATTATATCTTGTGCAACTCTTGGTACACTGGCGCCTTGCAAAGAAAGTTCCTGTTTCTAATCACCCTCATTCACACATGGTGTTGCATGTGAGCTTATATCTTAGATGATCATTCAAGTGATCTTGTCACCCACACATCTTGGGTTTTTAGTTTCATTTTGATAAATTTTAAGATGTGGTGAATCACTTGACCATATGCAGTCGTCGTAACAGTTTTTGTGTCTATGCTGCCACAGGCTGATCCTCTCCACAACAACAATGAACATCTCTGAGGAGCAGATACATGGCGTCTATGGAAGTGACTCCCGCCAAGAGAACATCATATTTGCAACATTTTACATCCTGGTTTTCGTCATCGCTGTGCCTGGAAATGCCTTGGCGCTGTGGGCCTTCTTTCGCCAGGACAGCACGTCTCCATCTAAGGTCTTCCTGAGGCACCTATCTGTAGCAGACATCTCTTACATCCTCATTTTACCCATGAGAATAGTTTACCACCTATCTGACAGCCACTGGCCTTTTGGACATGTCCTCTGTCAGCTAGCAGGCTTCCTCTTTTACCTTAACATGTACTGCAGCCTGTATTTAATGAGTTTCATCAGCCTGGACAGATTTCTGGCTGTGGTCCTACCTATCAAATCACAGTCAGTTAGGAAGGCTGTGTATGCGAAGGTAGTTGTTGGCATACTTTGGGTGACTGTCATTGTGTCTATGAGTCCTATACTTTTCTCCAAAAAGAACATGACCCACAACTCAAATGGCATCTGCAACAAGTTGTACTTAGAAAAGACATCTCCCACAGCTTTGATCTCCACTATTGTGGCATTTGCCATCCCCCTCACCACCATCGTGGTTTCTTACATAATGATCCTGCTGAAGCTGAGGTCACTCAAGCAACAGGAAGAACGCCCAGTAAAAGACAAAGCCATAAGAATGATCATTCTCATCGTGATGAACTTCCTGTTTGCATTCGTACCCTACCATGTGAGCAGGGTAATCTACATTCAAAGCCACAGTCACAGTATGACTGCAGCAACCCACGAGGCTCTGGGAAAAGCCAACAGGATCACATCTGCACTGACCTGTGTCAGTGGTGTACTGGATCCTGTGATGTATTTCTTCTTGAACTGTGCATACAGGGACATGCTGCTTCAACTGTTCTGCAAAAAGCTAGGAAGATAATCGATAAGCAACAAGTACCATGTAGTCAGTAAACATTTTTAAAGGAATTGTCCTGTTTTGAATAATTTCTAGAGACATGGTCAGACTTGAATACATTCGGATTTCTAAAATGTAGGTTACAAAATGATTTAAGGTACCAACAGAATTACCACCTGTCAAATACAGGATTGATTTAAAGGGTTTTTTATTTGTTTTTAAAGCCATATTGCCTTTATTTGACAGGACAGATTAAGCATGGAATCAAAACTGTGGCCAATGCTGCAAAGACATTACCTTTGTACGTGGGACACCTGAGCTATTGGGCACCCCAAACAAAGTATTTTTTATAAGATTAAGGCTTGTGCATAAGGGAGATCGTGTCTTTGTGGTAGCTGCTCTAAAGCTTTGGCATAGCCCTCCACTCTACAGCCAGTGCTCCCCCTCCATTGACACTTTTAAGACAGATCTTAAGCTGTACATGTTTTCGGTGGCCTTTGGTTGCTCTTATTGGTTTTATTGTTTTAGTATTTTGTAATATTTTTACACATGTAATTGATCTTAGCAGTTTCACTCTGTTATATTTGAGTGATTATTATATCTGTGTACATATAATATTGCTTTGTAATTTCTACTACCTTTTGTTGCTGTTGTTATATATATTGTATATTGTATAATATTTGCATGCCATTCATTTTATTTTTTACAGCACTTTGGTCAACTGTGGTTGTTTTTAAACGTGCTATATAAATAAATTTGATTTTATTTGATTCTGTTCTTGTTTGACTCTTCTAAAGTCCTGTTTCCTGACTGATTGGGATGAGCAGTGCTGTTCACCATAGGCCTCCACCTGCTGTTTGGAGATACTCCTCTAGTTGGTCTGTACGACACTTGATAGTTTAACGGCAAAAACATTTTTGTGTGATTGTTGGGTGTAAGATTCCTCTTGATTAGGCTATTTGTTATGGTAACTAAATATTACAGATGACAAGCGGAACTTCCACTGTCGTAGCTCTGATGAAAAAACTGAAATAGGGACATTATTTGTCTTCCTACTTTCAGATCACTAAAGTTTTGAAGGAAGTATAAAAAAATATCTCTATCACGACATCTTGTCACCAACTCATCTAAGACAAATGGCGGGACAAGTTGCATTTTTAATCAAGATTGAAACACTTCTTTTTTATTCCGAGCAAGACAACATTAGATATAACTCACCACTACTCCAACACAGACCCATGTAACACCAACACATGTATTTTTGAACATGTTTAGATTTGGATTTGGAAAGTATTGTGAGGGTATCACTTTGATCTCTTGGTATTTGATTGGTATCTGAACTTAAGTCTCACACAGCACCTAAAGCCTTCCTGATGTTTTCTCTTCATCATCATCATCATCATCATCTGACTAGCATGTAAAACTCTGCAGCTTTTCTTCGTTTCATTTTGCAACACAAAGAATAAAAAACACACGAAGCAAAGACGTTTTATCAGCTCGCAGATTAGATTCTGTTCTCTGATCTTACATAACCAAGAAATGGAGCGGTTTATAGATCAGACGCCATGCCACGCCTCACCGACACACACACCCACAGTCTTTTCTTTTTTTATACCCAAATTAGTTGCTGAAACAGAAAATGTACCCATATATTCATACATACCTTGGGTGCTCTCAGTGTCATGTTCAACATCTTTCCAAATTCGGTGTCTTTGGAGCAGCTCTAGACTTAATACCCTATGGCATCACAAATTTGAGTTTTAGCACTCTAGTTTGGGGATTTTGGAGGGAGTTGTTCATTTTTACTAATATTTTCCGACTGTCTTAGACCCCAGGAATAAACTGCATGGATTTTAAAAATGGCTGAAGTTCCTCTTTAAGTTATATTTTCAATGCAGGGCCAGAGTTGGGAGGGTTACTTTTAAAATGTAACAGGTCACAGATTACTAGTTACCCTGTTAAAAATGTACTAAGTAATGTAACTATGTGAACTACTTCATCAAAGTAACATAACAGACTACATTTGATTACTTTTCTACCAGATATTTTAAACTCAGCAATAAAGCTGAAAGATATTTGGAAATAAGCTATGTCAAAAAAGGCATTCCTACAGAGGGAAAATTATGCAAAGCAACACAATGAATATTATATTCTACATATAAACCTTTTAACTAAGAAGAATATATTTGGATATAATTCCTTTGTAATCACCAACATTTTGATAAGTAACTGTAATTTAATTACATGTTTTTTTTCCGCAGTAACTGTGCAGTTACATTAATTTTGTAATTTAATTACTGTAACTAGTTACATATACTGTAGCCTAACTAGTTACTCTCCACCACTGTGTAGGGCTTTACTTGTAACAGAATGTGGTATTAGTACTTTTACTTAGCCAAAGTACAGAATCTGAGTACCTCCTCCACCAGTGGACTAATTGGCCTAAATAAACATATTTCAATTAATTAAAACATATATTACTCTATATCACGATAGCATAATAACTATAGCACATTTTTTTTATGAGAATATGAGGGTTCAATGGCACGAATTATCAAAAATGTGACCTTCAGCCAGGATCCGGACAGTCAGCCTATTTTCAAGAAAATCAACTTTTACTCTGTTTGACCTGTGCGAGCACCCGTATATCGACTTGTTACCAAGGCAGCCAGGAAGAAGCTGTGAAGGGAGCGGACGGTGAGTGTGTTGTTGTTTGCTTAGCTTCTGTGATTTCACCAATACTTGGACTTTTACTCAATATTCTCTCGAAGCTAAAATATGTACAGAAGTTATTATGTCCTTCCGTTAGTGTCTACACCGATAAATGTCGCCACGAGCGTGATGAACAGCTGTTTCGGAAATGTTAGCTAACCCAAGCAACGGTCTTTATGTTAATGACAGATAAAACTAGCTAACGGTAACTGCAAACATGTTAGCAATAGGGCACATTTAGCTGCGGGAGGCGCTCCTGTAAAGATAACGGTGGTATGAGGTGTTGCTTTGAAGAAAGCAAATTAGCTTGTGGCTGCAACTACACATTGACTAGCTTTTTTGCGCTTGTGATACAACACGGAGAAGTCAAATTAAGACACATAAATGCCAACCACAGTCATTTCCCACTGCCTGGGTAGATTAAAACTCTTCAATAGTTTTCACTATGAGTCACTGTCACGTTTGTCATCACACAGGAGCAGCTATGGACCTCCGAAAAGGCTGAGTATAGTTTCACAGCCCAGGCTGCCACCATGGGCACCGCATCCTCTCTGGTCAGCCCAGGTGAGGTGATCGAGGATGGATATGGGGGTGAAGGAGGGGAGGCCTGTGAGATCCCAGTGGAGGTCAAGCCCAAAGCCCGACTCCTGCGTAGTTCCTTTCGCAGAGGACCTCGGGTGATTGGGGCCAGTTTTAAATCCACAGGTTCTGTAGATCTGGAGTATGCTGCTGAGTATGAAAGACTCCGGAAAGAGTATGAAATATTTCGTGTCAGCAAGAATAACGAGATTATATCCATGCAAAAGAAGGAGGCGAAGCTGGATGAGGAGAAAAAGAGGCTGAGGGCTGAGCTACAGGTAAAATGAATTAACGCTGGCAACTACGAGCTTACAGCACAAGCTTGAAGGCTACACAAGTCTGTGGATGTTACAACAGTTCTTATGATTGTCTTTGTCATTCTCACTGTGACAACAGGCTCTGCAGAAGACGTACCAGAAGATCCTCAGAGAGAAAGAGAGTGCTCTTGAGGCAAAGTACCAAGCTATGGAGAGGGCTGCCACCTTTGAGCACGACAGGGACAAAGTAAAACGACAGTTTAAGGTAAACGACACCATGTTTGTCACTGTGGAGCATTCTGTCCAGTAATCATGATTGCAACCCTAATTAATTCACTAAATGACCACTAGATTTTCCGGGAGACAAAAGAAAAAGAGATTCAGGATCTCCTTCGGGCCAAGAGGGACTTGGAGGCCAAATTGCAGCAGTTGCAGGCTCAGGGCATCCAGGTCTATGACCCAAATGATTCTGACTCAGATGACAACCAAACCACTGTCACTGGTAAGAAATCCTCACTGTATTTGGATCTTTTCCTTGTTTAATCATTCATCCATCCTTCCAGTATTAATTTTCCACTAGAGTACAAAATTTAAGGTATCTTTTTGTATGATAAAATCTTCAAAAACATTATTTTTCACTGCATGTCTGTAGCTGCAGGGACACAGTGTGAGTACTGGTCTGGCGGTGTGCTGGGAAGTGAGCCCTCTATGGGTAGCATGATGCAGTTGCAACAGACCTTCAGGGGACCGGAGTTTGCACACAGTTTGATAGATGTGGAGGGGCCCTTTGCAAATGTGAGCAGAGGTAAGTAAACTCCAGGAGGTCTGTACAAAGAAGGGAAGCATCATGATATAGGTTGTAGGCAACCATATTTGCACCATGGCTACTATGATGCTGGAGAAATAATACACTCCTACATACGTTATCTGCTTAATATAACTTAATAGATGTATATTTATGTTTGTATGCAGCTAGCTTTTGAGTATGTGTTCACTTATCTCTTCATGCTTGTTTCACAACTTTTCTCATGTGTGTGTGTGTTTGTGTCAGATGACTGGGATGCTGCAGTGGCCAGTCTGCTTCAGGTCTCCCCTCACGTGCCCCAGGCCTTATGGAGTAACACAGTGCGCTGATACCTAATCTTTACCCAGGAGACCAAAGCTGAGTTTGATGTCTTTATTAAGGTTGGTTAAATGGGCACGGTCGGCAAACTGTAAATATTCTATTTTCATAGAATTTTCCATGACCTTAAGTAACACAGGAAGACCTGTAGACTCTTGGAAAACCATTGTGAGTCAGCCTGGTAGAGAGCTGACATTAATCCTTTGGTAAATCATCGGTTCATGTTTTCATTACAGAAACACTCACCTGTGTTGCGGAGAATGTGCGAGGGTATCGGCCATTTCTACCTGAATGTCTGCTTTCCAGAGGAGAGTGCTGCCTCATATGCTGTGGAGCGCAAGCAGGAGATTGAAAGGAGCTCTGTGTGTGTGCTTCTGGTCAAATCTACTGTCACTAGGTACAGTAAGTCCTACACCTTTCATCACTAGCACACCTCCATGGACTAAAGAATGATATTGTTTATTTGTAAGACAATTTCTTCATGCATGTGTGCAGCTCTGTGGTGGAAGATTGTGAGGAGGCTTTTGTGAAGACTCCAGATGGCCATCCTCTGGTGCTCTACCTCAAGACTGAAGAAGGTCACAATTTGACTGGACCCACCAGGCAACTGCTAGAAAGGGTCAATGCTGCGGACAAGGCTGCTAAAGTCAAGGTTTGTGTTGTGAACAAGGCAAAACAGGATACAGAGGAGACAAACATTTTTCCTGAGGTATCCAGGGTTAGATCAAAGCCCTCTATCGAAAGCATTCTATAATTTGTTATGACATTTATAGTCTTGGTAATCTGTATGTGTATGTGGTGTTTGATAAATAGCCTTATTATCCAGAGTAGTTTCGCTTAATATGACAATACCATTAACTGTCAGCAAAAGCAGAAGTTGTGTGTTTATTGCCTTTTAAAGTTGACATTCTGTATTTACTGATCATTCGATGCCACACGGTGCTTATGTTTACATATTTTAAACATTAACCCAGGTGGTGGATCATAAGGGTTCTGCAGAAGAGGGAG